TGATGAGATACATTTCTGTGTGGAAGACAATCCTTAATGTGGTGAGAATAAACACAGTTTCTCTTGCTCTCTTCAGATCCTGTGCTCTGGACGGCTGATCAGGTGATCCACTGGGCTGTGTGGGTGATGAAGGAGTTTAACATCGATGAGATGGAAATAGGCAGCATTCACATTCCAGGTCGAGATCTCTGCTCATTCAGCCAGGAAGAGTTCCTACATAAAGTGCCCAATGGAGAGATACTCTGGAGTCACCTGGAGCTCCTGCGTAAATGTAAGTCAGAGAGAGTCGCTGTAGGTTTTAGGAGACTATGCATCCATCTTGCACACACTGATAATGGTTGACGGTGTTTTAAGGAGTCAAATGAAGGCCAAAGTTGCATCTGATTTGTACGTGGGTCTGGTGAATTTGATGCAGATTTTGTCTTAATCCTTTGTGCTTCGTTCAGATGTGTTGGCAAGCCAGGACCAGTCCGGAGGGGACGCCACTGTCACCATCGATCAACGTAAGTGTTTTACTGAAAAATCTGCCAGAGGGGTAATTAAAGGTTTCCCCGAAACATGACAATACCCTTACATGCAGTCAGCTGAAGACTGGAATTGGCCAGTCATGAGTCACTCAAGTTATCTGATCTGATGGGACACAACACAGAGAACCCCTTTACTAGCCTGCAGGGCAGCAGACAGTTCATTCAAAGGAAGAAAAATGTCCTTTTCTTGCAGATGGAATAACTTTAATAAGAACCAGGGCTTCCCAGAATTTCTCAAAGCTCCCAGTTCTAATTGATTTCCATTTCGATTTGTTCCAGTATCAATTTTATTAGGAATATATCAGTTATAATACCATTTTTTCTCAGATATGAAAGGATTTCTCAGAGGATTCATGCTGTAAATTGTACAAGAAACCCTCCAACCTGGTGTATATTTAAAGATACCAAAGTTTTCATTTAAAATCGACACCCCAAAACAGTCTCCCCATTTTTTCAATCACAAATTGACCAATTTCTCACCTTAGACTTTGATCAAAAACGGTTAATATCAATTATTTATGGAAAAAACCCCAGCCCCACTGCACCTCTCGAAGACTCCTGGGAACAAGACTTGGGTGTTCACATTTCTGACAACCACTGGAGCGATATTCTTGCCTTTATGCACTCCTTATCACTATGTGAAAAGTGCTCTATAAATAAAATGATTGATTGATTGATGTGCCAGACACGGGACTATTGCATTGCAAGGTTCTCCAGATGGCACACTTACCAACACCAAATTGGCTAGAAAATACCCTGATCAAAGTGATGCTTATAATAGATGTATGAAATCCCCAGCTGACTATTTACACATATTTTGGACATGCCTAACTGACTTTTGGTCCAGGGTGTTCGACACCCTTGGACAGGCCTCTACAACACAGTTCTGGTACCTAACCAGGCTAACTATAGGCTATATGTATTTGTATCCATACAGTAGCAGGTGATAAGCCAAGTACGTGCATATGGCTTTGCTTTTGTCCCACTCTTCTCTGTATTCATAGTTTTTAACTGAAATGCACCAGGTATCTGCCTTAGGCTTGGCCGTGCCTTCAGTGGAGCAGCTCCCGGTATGCTTGCATAAAAAGAAGTTCACTAGCCTCTCATCCGGCCACATCTCGTGTGAAGAACCAAAGTGCGGCCACACAAGACTAACCGGGTTAAAGCTTCACACGTCTCCGGTCAAAGGCATACATTAAAAGACTAATCTCAGGATTTTATGAATCGATGTCAGATCATTTAAACACCAGCAGTTGTTCTGATGAACAATATTCTGTTTATCTCTAACCTTCCTGTCTGTGTCTGCAGCTGTGCAGATAATCCCGGCCCAAGTGAGCACACCCACTGCCATCAAGGTGTTGAAGCAGAACCGTGGCCCCAGAGCTCCCCGAATTTCAGGAGGAGAGGAGCGCAGCTCGCCTGGCAACCGCACAGGTACTATACACACTACACACATGGGCTCTGTATGTAGCTCGTATGTAGACAGCTTACAGGCCTCTGTTCAGATAGCCTGAAAGTGCCGAAAAAGGCAAAGGGTGATGGGTTGGAATCAGACCCTTGGCCACTACGACACAGCCTTTGTGCAAGTATAATGAAAATAATTGAATATGAAATTGCTCCAAAAATGAAACTAAATTGAATGCTGTGTTTCTGTGGTGCCAGGAAACAATGGTCAGATCCAGTTGTGGCAGTTCCTGCTGGAGCTGCTGACAGACAAGGACGCACGGGACTGCATCTCTTGGGTGGGCGAGGACGGCGAGTTCAAACTCAACCAGCCAGAGCTTGTTGCCCAGAAATGGGGCCAGCGCAAGAACAAGCCTACGATGAACTACGAGAAACTCAGCAGAGCCCTGAGGTTTGTTTCTGTTTTTGAAGGGTACTCCAGTGGCTCAGCATTACACTTCCATAGAGTTGGTGACGGATTAAGAAATGGTCGCAGCCACATCCTGACTTGTAGTCCTAGAGGGGAATATGATCCTGACACACTAGATCCTACATTTCCCTCAATGCAACTGCTTGATAAACAAGGGGGGCCTTTCTGTTAAAAAAAGACTGAGATGATGATGATCATGATGATGATGATGATGACAAAGCTCCTCCAGGGCCACAGAAGACATTATAAAGCTGTTAACATGATGAGTTTTCACCTTTTTTGCAAGTACTTGACCCAATGCAGATCTCCGTTATGACAGCAGCATTGAAAACATGACATGGTTTGCTTCACTCTTAAACTGTGTGGTTTTATTTGTGAGATTCTGACATTCATGTTCTCATTTAGGTATTACTACGACGGGGACATGATCAGCAAGGTGCAGGGCAAGCGCTTTGTCTACAAGTTTGTGTGTGACCTGAGAACTCTGATCGGCTACAGCGCTGCTGAGCTCAACAACCTGGTGACCGAGTGCGAACAGAAGAAACTGGCCCGCATGCAGATGCACGGCATCGGTCAGCCCATCACTACAGTGACGCTGGCCACCACAACACTAGACAAAGACAGTTGAAGGAGGCTGTGGCAAAGCGCCGTCCAGCTGCCAAAGTTTGCTCTCCACCACTGATTGGAAATCAACTCTGTTCTCTTCTTTTGACACAGCTGTGTTTATCAGGCACAGGAATGCAAGACTGACCCCGATCAGTACGGATTAACAACTCTGTTATTGTCTTTACAAGTTAGACTGAGGCAGGTTAAAAGTTTTATCTTTTCTTTAACTCTAACCAAGAGACGTGTGTTCAGGATGAGGAGACAAATGTCTGCGTGATTACTGAGATGTGCTGTTGTTGTGTGCATGTGACTGAATGCTTGAATGTCTGACTGAGCTGTGAGCTTTGTGTAATGCGTTCCTCGTCTGTAGTTTAGGATCATTTCCACTGTATATACCGGTACTTCATGTTTTTGATAGCCACAAGGACAAGTGTATTTTCATATTTTCCATTTATAGAGGATCTGTTTTGTATTTTATTTAGTGTTTGTTCCCTGAATTGTTGGACCCTTTTTTGTCCACTAGAGGGAATAAAGTGGCAAGCATTTTTCTTAACGTCTGTGATTCAGTCTCTTCATCTCTCAGCCTTGGAAAGTAATGTTTTATTTAATTAGTAAATGTGTATTTGACACACCTCAAGACCTTTCAAAGATGCAGGATTTTCTTTAAAACAATGTATAGAATTAGAAATAATACCAGGGTTCCCACAGTCATGAAATTCCTGAAAAAGTTATGAAATTAAGAAAGCAGTTTTCCAGGTCTGGAGCTGATTTGGAATTAAGAGTGTGTTTTGGTTAAGTTTTGAGTTTACATGGTTTTGGCTATTGTTTCAGATACACTCAGAAAAATCCCCAAACATGTCCTAATGTACGTAAAATACGTTGCTTATATTAATTTAAAATATTGGATCACTAGTATCACGTCATCACCAAGGCCACATCCCTTTTTGGGAAACAGGAAAATGCCAGAAAGCTCCGATGAAGGCTCTGTGCTGAAACATGTAAGTGTAGCTTTATTGTGATGTGAGCCAGTTTAACAAATGAAATGTGGGTATTTTGTTGTCCTTTTCTCAGAAATTTGGGACACTTTACCTTTTCATACTTTTTGGAATTGTTGAAGCACAACCTTCTTTTCAAAACAATTGCGAAACAATTATTAGACATGTCCATAAAACACATTTAACAAGAAATAAATGCAGAGGAACTCATAAAACAAAATTATAATCCAAATACAGGTGAAATTGCATTAGGGATCCTTGGTTTTCTCACCCCCCAAAAAAACATTTTGCAGGGTACTTGTATTTTCTGATCTGGGGTCTCTTATAGACATTGCATATGCACAAAACAAGTCCTGAAAGAGGCATGCACTACTTCCTACGCAAAAGTTGGGGTCTATAAAAACAGACTTGATGGGTGAAATTTTGACCCATACTTACCAACATTTTGGAGATAGGAAACTGGCAATGCAGATGGTGAGGTGGAAGTCTGATTGTAGTTTTTTTGGCTCTTGTCCATGTGTACATTTTTAGTATGGATCCTACACATCGTTCTATAAATGAGACCCCTGGTTTGTTGGCATGTTGCAAGTTGGCGGCCATATTTGCAGCTTGCAAATACCCAGGAAGTGTGTTTAGTAATGTGTGGCTGTATGACTATTTAGGCCTAATCAATAAATTAGATTAAGTCGCAGAAATCGAGTAAAGTATAATGGAAAAGTTTTGAAAATTCTTTGGTGACAATGTGTGGAACCCTGTAATCCCTCTCAGTTATCACTATGACCAACTAGAAATATGTGGAAGAGTAGTTTTCTGCAGAGACTCTGCCCTCTGCCTGTAATTTCTCATTTTCTGTACTCGGGGAAATTTGTGGGCATGTTTCCCCCACAGCTTTCAGTTTTGCTGGTGAGCGTGTTTATAAACAGAAACCAACAACCCTGCATAGTTTAAAATCCTGCATGAATCATCATCAAAAGATCCAAAATGACAAACAGCCAGAAATGTATGTACATTCAAAATTTTATTCATGGTATAGTGAGTGTAGAAAGCCTTTTCTTACTCTAAGCAAATGGTTCATTTAACTACACACAGAGGAAGGTCACTGAATCAATGAGAGAAACAAAAAGCACTTTTTTTTTTCTTTTTTTAAAACACGAGCCTCCAAAGACACCCAGGGTGAGCATCGATACAAATTTTAAACATTCACCTGATTAAGAGCTTCAGTTAGTGTGTCTGTACATGTGTGGATATCATATGTAGAGAGGTGATATGTGTTGTATTTCTATGGTATAAAAGCACACAATGCATGTCACATTCATGTTGACTGAAGGTGGCATTAATAACTTAATAGTAATGGGAGAGGGAAACGTGTCTCCATGCTGATGTGAGTTGTGGTCATCCTCCTAGTGTTGTTAACTCTTCACCTGTTTGTGAGGACTTGACAACAGATAACGCAGACAAAGAAATATCCACCACAGGACGAACAGAAGCACTGTACATGTATACACAGAAAATGTAGAAAAATAGAATGTGAGATTTGGTGAAGGAATGTGTGTGAAGAGGAGAAAACGTTTGTAGGCCTAACGAGTCCCATCTCTTTAGCAAATACTCAAAAGTGCTGCGTTGTACAATATTGCTGACGCAGCCGGAAAGAGAGGATAAACAGGACAAACGGGGTTGGAAAGAAAGACTGAAGAACACACAAGCAAGAGACGGAGAGGTGGAGCTTGATAATGAAACCGGGCCATTGAGAGCCAGATCTCCATCTTCCAAATATTTACAATCAAGAGAAAGAGTGGAATGATAAATCTGGAATGATACACTTTCAGAAAACCTTTGACTTCCTTATTCTAACAAAAACCCAGATGTGCAGTGACAGTGTGAATTGGCATCAGGGACTTAACAGCAATAATAATATTTGGTGATAATAATCAGACTTCAAAAATGACAGAGTGCATAGAACGCAAACAGTAACAAAATCGTCTTCCTTTCGGATACTATTACACTTCATATATTACATATAGAGCATTTTGCCCATGCAGCTAACACAACAGTGAAGCATGGAGATGATCGTTAACGAGCCAAGATTCAGTTAAAGCAAGTCTGTGTGACGACAAAGCAGACCGGGTTCTGAATACTCTTTTTCTTCTTCATATCACAAGGTCACAAAGAAGACACTAGAAATGTACAATCCTGCTAAAATATCTAGTAAGAGAGGACCGCTCCCGAGGACCTCAACATACAGTATACTGTATCTGTCATCAATATTGCCATGCACTACATTTACTTACAGCTAATCTCTGTCTTAATATATTACACATAAAAAAAATCAGAAAACAAAACATTCAATATTTTTCAACTTTTACATATTTTGATTATGTAGAATTTTTCTGCAATTTTTTTTTTTTTCCTTTTTTGAAAAACAAACCTGAAACAGTTGGGCTTTAATCGTGCGGAGAGGCGCTTTTAGAGCCCCTCCTCCCATTGCCAGCTCTAAGAGCTGTTATGTCATCAAACACAGCACAGCTGTCATCTGAGAGTGGGGGGTGGGGGTGTGGAGGGTGGAGCAGTTTGAGGAAAACGGAACAGTTGGAGCGATGAACGAGTGATTGGGAATTAAACTGCTTAGATTTACATCGTCTCAGCTGCGAGACGTCACATAAATCATCAGCAGGGTTTTTCAGTAGGAACTCTATGACCCTGTTTACACCTGGTATTAAGGTGTCCTGGGTGATCAGATCACAAGTGGACAGCTCTAAGTACATGTGTGAGTGAACCAAATGTGTCCTCAATGCGTCTGGAGATCCAAACGCTCAGACCACATTTGGAGCTGGTCTGGGCCAAATGTGGCCACATTGTTTCAGCAGTGTGAATGCTATTGTGTCCTGGGCCACACTAACGTCCTTGCTTATCTGCTACCCAACCGGATAATAAAAACCTTCTGTCTGTACAGTTGCGCAGGCACAGATCTGAACTACCGTCTCCGAAGCAACTTTGCTCCCAAAGAACAGTCAGTTCAACATCTGCCCGGTTAGCACAAGCTAACACAGCAGAGTTTACAGCAAGACAAACCTCCTCACGGTTAAAAACAACTAAGCAGCTGGTCTTTGCAAACGGAAATGATTCACCAGTTTATTTTGCAGTGGTCACTAGAGACCCATGTGAAGATGCACTCTAATGCCTTGTGTTTACAGACAGACTCAAAGCCGTCCACTTGTGATCAGATCACCCAAGACGCATGATAACACCAGGTATAAACAGGCTGAATAGAGTTTTTGTTGTGACTGGACAAAGTGCAGGTGAAAAAGGATACCCTTGTCCGATAAATTGCAGGTGGATGTAAGCTCTTTACAATCAAGGGATCAGGGATTAGGCAGGCTTTGTTCCATGTTGTTTTCCTTTGGCCCAAACCCCTGACTGAGACATGAACTGGTACAAAGGCTTCACTTATCTGCTCCTAACTTTCCAACAACATAAAAATGAGCCTCTGTAGCAGTCTTCACACCTTTGCCTTTAACAAGGTGAGAACCTGAAGGTGTAGGGGCTGAGGGCAAGGAACCAGAATGGAACAGACCTGACGAGTGAAAGTGTGAGGGGAGGAAATGTTGATGAGCAGTTCTTTTAGTTCTGCATCTGCTCGAAGAATTTGTAGGTGGGATTTTCATAACCGTTCTGCTGCATCTTGGCCAGATGACGCTCCTCTGGTGTGACTGCTGCATCCACCTACAGAGCACAGATAAAGCAGGTTAGTGAAACAAGTCTTTTATGTAACTTTAAAAAACACATGATAACACTGGGAAACATGACCCCTCAACACTTTACTTACCTCAATTACACCGTGATGAATGGAAGTGTACTGTTTCTTCCTCAGCATCACCAAAGTAATGACAATGACAGTTGCTATGACAACCCCTCCAACCATGAGTCCAATGATAGCACCTTTATTCGACCCCACATCCTCAGCGAAAAACACCTGCCGATTAAAAAAAAAAACTGTTGATGTGTACAGAGCCCAGACTCCACTGCAGGACCAAAGGTAAGGGGCATGTGTTTTCATACCAGTTTTTGATGGTAAACTTCATAACCAGCACTTTGCCTCTCTTCAGTCTCCATCCGCACTTCTGGCATCTCCTCTGGTTTCAGAGCAGATACTGAAATGAAATACAGACAAAGTGTGTAATAAAAAGACATTTAGTTATGTCATTGCAGTTGTTTATCCTACATAAAGTAGGAAAGTATTTGTACAATGTGATATTACACAGTCGCTTCCCAGTTTTATTTGCGTCAGCAGTGAAGTGATATACTCTCTTCATTGATTCAAGCTGTTGTGCTGATCAGCTGTTGCTGGCGGTAAAGTGCAAAGAGGCGCAGGAAAGTCTGTGAGGAAGACTGCTTGCAAACAAACGTGATGAAAACAATGCATGATTTGAGGGTTGTTGTTTTTTTTTACAATAAAAAACATACCTACATACATAGATTTTTATGAGGAAGGAACTGTATTTAGCCAATTAGAGCACAAAGAAAAATGCTATGCGTTTTAGTGAATTCAAACAACTTTTGTTTGTTTACAGAAAGAATCTTAAAAGGTATACTATGCAGGAATTGGTGGCTACTGTTTGTAAATGGTTTGGTACAGCCGCTGCAGTGATGTAGGTGCTGTGCCAGACTGTCATGGTCCCAACCTTCACCTATGGTCATGAGCTTTGGGTAGTGGT